GACATCTGCAAAAGGAAACCTTTTTTTTTTTCTTATAATTTCATTGTAATATTAGGGTGTATTAAGACATGCATGTGAATGTGCGGCAGGATCAACAAAATATATAATGGAAGACTATTTCCAGAATGGCAAGCTGCTTTAATCTCCTTTACTAATGCTTTGTTCTGTTAGATCTGTCTATTTAGGGCTTGGAAGAGAAGATGTATGCTTGGGAATGGAGAAGAGCATGCATAAATAAATAAATAGGCACATTGAGTAAAAATTTGCCTATATCTGATCCTGATGTGTTGAGAATTATGCATGCTGGGATATGGTTGGCTTCTTTTGTTTATTTTGTTGAGATATTTTATCCTCCGATGGAGGGAACATGAAAGGTCACTCCATTCCTTCGCCTTAAAATAGCTTTCCAAAATTGATTTCAGATAGGTTGATCCAAGAAAGTAATACTTCTGGATTTCATCCCTTTGAGGACCCTTTCTGCTATCTGGAGAATATGTAACCCCAAACTGTCCCATGGCCACTATCCCATGTTCCATGTGTCCAGCTCCACCTCCTAAGGCAAGGGAGGTATGAAACAAAACGTAGAGAGTAAGGAGATGACCTTGATGGGAATATGCAAGAACCGTTACCTAGGCAAAAGGAGCTGAAACATTTTTTAAGTCCAAAGTAAGAAGATAACCTTTGGCTCAGGCAGATACTTCCCTAATTTATTGAAATATAAGAAGGGGCAAAAGGTGCAGCACAATCAGACTTGCATGATTCTGTTATTAAACCCAGTCTCAGCAAAAGTAATTTTAACCTTCCTGTGAAGTTGGTTTCCTGGTTTGGTCTACTTAGTGAGGCTGACATTAAATATACTGTTAAAGATCAATGCCAAGTTTTTAGAATTAAAACATATGTATATACATATGATGATGATGATGATTTTCAACTCCTAGTGACCTCATACATACATATAAACAAACCAAAATCCCAACCTAGGTCCAGTATAATAAAAGGGAGTGGGCGGTTGTTATTGGGAACAAACCCCACAAGGACATTTCCTTGTGGTTCAATCTTTATTTTCCTGCCTATGATTCCAATGTCTCCCATCCTCCCAGTGCAGTTACTATCTGTGTTGTCAGGGTGGTGGTGGTGAATTATGTTAGTAAGAACTGCTCCCTGCATGTCTAACATCTGCAGTCTGTGTCTGTATATTTAGATGGTGCTGGAGAGAACCTTATATCTCTTTGTCCGGTAGTCCTGATGAAAATAGTGCCCCCAGCTGCTGTTAAATAATTAGGAAAAACGCTATAATGTCTAATGAAAACATCTAGTTTGGTTGTATAAATCAGGTGCTACTTGCTCTGTGGGCTTATAGAAAGCTGCAGTGTTGCTTAGAAAAACTTGAGGGGATACTGCCATGCTTGATAGATGGCAGACTTTTGGAATAGGATTTAATCTCATAGCGAGTCTTCAGAAGACTGTGCTCTAACTATTGACTGTAATACAGCTGTTGTTCTAAGTTAGGAGGCCTCTGGAAAACTGGGTCAATTCCAGAAACATGACAAGGATTTCTCATTCCCAGCTGTGTGACAATAGTGGTCACTCTAAAAAGAAAATATTGGAGATGAAGGGGTATGTCCAAAATAACACAGGAATAGATTTTTCAGTGAAAGGAACTTGGTTCTGATACCCATCACAAATTTGAGGTCCAAAATTGTCATTGTATATGTGCCTGACTGAGCCATGCTTTGTTTCTGACACTGACTGGTGGATCTCAGCTTCTAGTAAAACAGAATAGATCACACAAGTTCTAAGTGTGCATGCACAGACTAAATTGTATGTAAGGCCTACTAAATGCACGAGGTCCAAATGTGCTTCACTTTGGTTTAAAATGTTACATTTTGCATATACTTTAGTTGACTTCTTTCATCATCTTAACGACTACCAGCTCCTCTGAAATATCTAGACTGGACTCAGAAGTATTGCAGTGGAGTGATATAAGTGGATTTTTCTTCAACCCTGCAATCTTATTTGGCTCCCAGTTCTGCTCTGTAGGATCATTCAAGTCCTAAAGAGCAGGTTTGGGAAGGCCTGTGGGGCAGCAGGGAAGGGACTTTATGCTGCCAGCTGAGTTTGTTCTCCTGACACTACTAGGACATATTTGGCACATCAGTGCCTTCAGGCTGAAAAGCAGCTTTTTTAAAAAAAAAGCTTATACAATTGTTTTAGTTTCATATTGGAGAACTGGGCAGTGTGATAATATAGGCTATATACTATTTTATACTAATTCTCTTCCATCCCTCAATTACCTGGCAATTTTGGTAGCTGCTTTGCCAAGCTTTGATTGAATCATCTTGGTAAAAAGCCAATGAGTTGTCCTAAGCAAATGAAAATGAATTTCCAAATGTCAATTTCATTCACTAGTACAGACATACAATGCCGTGGCTATCTCTCATTAAAGAGCACAGGAAGGCTACTTATTTTCCTCAGCATCTCAGAAATGTGGTTATTACATTTGCAGAGAAAAACGTCCTTTGGCAGAAAGTCAGAGTTCAAGATGACCCCAAGTAAGCCAAAGAAATTAGCTTCTGGCCTGTTTTTTGTTGCTGGTACAAACATAGTTTCATTTAGTTTTAGCTGGGTTCTTCTGCCCCCTAGTGGCTGTTTACCAGCAGATTCCCCCTCCCTCCCCCCAAATTAGGATCTCTATCCTGGGAAATCAGGAAAAAAGGGAAGCAGGAATCATTTTCCAGTTATATCAGCCTCCTTAAAAGAAAATGATACGGTCACACTAATTGCTATTCAGCCTTCTTCATTTATTGAATGCATATGTTCTTTCTGCCTTTAATATGTTAATACATTTTTGAGAGACGGAGACCAGCTTTGTTCTTGTTTTTTGTCTCTTTGCTGCCGCTATTTTTCATTTTATTACTGTTTCAGAAATGAAGATTTTCTACTGCCTTCACCTCACATACTTCATCGGCTTTAGATTTGGAATACAGGAATCAACTAATCATTAGAGATTGGTAGAGCTCATATGAGAGAATTTGCTATTCATTTGTTGTTTTGGTACCTTGGGAAATGTTGACTCCCTTTCCAGAATTAGTATTGCTTGCCGTCTAAGATATTTTATTTTATTTATTTTATTTGAAACATTTATATAGCTGCCCAACTTGTACCAAATTCTGGGCAGCTCACAATCATAAAATAAAACAACATCTATCTACAATAAAAAAATATTGGAGTTGGGCGGCCAATACATTTAAATAAATAAATATTAAATATTAAAACCAAAAATATCAAAACCAGAAGACCTGGCACCGTAGCTAAACTTTCCTGTGCAGCCCACAACAAGTTCATCTCACCCTGTACAAATCTTCCCTTAGCTATGAAAGCTCACTGGGTGTCTTTGGGCTACTTACTATTTCTCCTACACCATGAAGGTGTTGATGTGGAGAAATCAGAAGAAGGATTAGCAGGTATGCAACCTTTAGTTCAGAAGGTAACAGGAGCTGAAAGGTTAGGTAGCTTTCAAACCTGATACTATTTTAAGATGCTGTGAAAACTCTGAAAACCTTGATGTTTATTCCTCTGGTGCTTCTTTTCTTTTTTCTCTTCTTCTTCATCATCCGATTGTTCTAATTTTGAAAACTATGGCATGTGTGCATACATGGGCAAATTAAATAACTGCAATAAGATGTTTTTGGCCTTAGGCACGGGCATTGCTTTCAAAGGAGTATAAAGGTGGTCTATGGCTGGATTCACACGTTGTACTAATCATTGTGGGTTGAACATAATTTGTTGAATAAACCAAACATTGTCTAGATTCACACCGCAATTCCAGCTATAGTTTGCAAAATTCAGTGGCTTGGCTTATAGCCAATTAACTGGTAAAATTCATTATCACATTACATGGTTATAGCCATGAACTTAGATGGCTTTAAAAGAAATTGAGATAAACTCATGGAGGACAGATCTATCAAGAGCTATTGGTCTTGAAAGTCAGAATTACTTCCATTCTGGGGTAGGATGCCTCTTAATATCAGCTGCAGAGATGGGAGAGAGTTCTGTCTCTACTTCCTGCTTATGAGTATCCCAAGGCATTGAGTTGGCCAATGTGAGAAACAAAATGCTGGACTATGATAGGCCTTGGCCAGAACCAGCAGGGCTTTTCTTGTGTTCTTATGTTCTTATACACTAAACCAAAATGAATCAATCAACAATATGGGTTCATGGGTTGTTTGAACCTTGTCTCTGAGTTCTAGCACGACAAGTCAGTATTTGTACAATGCTGTTTAATTATGGTGCTGTGGGGCATGGATAATGTTCATAGCTCTGCTATATTTGCTTTACTGTCACCAACATATTTAAACAAACAAAGCTGATTCATGCTTGAATGGTTAAACGTGTAGCTAAGGTCTTTGTGTTTTTCCATTCTCCACTCCTAAAAGTCAAGAATTTACACACAGCCCCTCTGTCCTTTTGATTCAGCTTAGTGGGATCTTTTACATGCTGTATCTCAAAAGATTTCACTGTTAGGAAATGATTTTTTCCCAAATGTTAGTGCAGTCCTGCATATATGACCAAGGTCTGATGCATGTTGTTTTGGGAAGGCTTCCTTAGCACTTCTCATTTTTCCTATTTTTTTAGTATCAAGCGGGTAAACGAGCAGCTATCAAGGCTCCCACGCTGATTTGGTCCTGCTGCCTGGGCAGACAATAGCATCATAACCACATTGGTATGTGCTTCTCCTGGCTCTAGACTGCAGTTCTGCTCAGTGAATTGCTTGGGATAGCTGTGCTCATGACACCATAAAGAAGCCTTCTGAGTCAGGGACATTTTCCTGTTCTTGTGTTGGAAGCTTTTTCTCTACAGCAGAAATCCAGTACCACTAACATTGTCCTCTGTCCTTTCTCTCTTCTAGACCTAGACGGCGAAGAAATTGCCTGCACTCAGAATAACCAAGTGTATCTGAATAGGGACATCTGGAAACCTTCACCATGCCAGATTTGTGTCTGTGACAATGGAGCCATTCTGTGTGATGAGATTCAGTGTCTTGAAGCACTGGAATGTGAAAACCCACAGGCTCCTCCTGGAGAATGTTGTCCTATGTGTCCAAACACAGCCCGGAATGGATTTGAAGGTTCTATTGGTAAGTTGTTGTTGTTTTTAATAATTTTCAATAGATCAGTTTGGTTTTTTTTAATCCATATATTCAGTGATCATCTGATACTTCTCTAAGTAAAGCATGGCACAAGAGAAGATCACTTGTGCGGTACAACATAATCAGTGATTATGAAAAAAGGTAAGAAACTAAACCAAAGGGCCATATATGGAAATGAACAAATCATTCATTGTGAAACAGTATTAATCCTAAACGAATTCAATTAGAAAGTGGCCCTACCTGTTATAGTTTTGTATTAATTTAAAGCACTCTCTCTCCCACTCACACATTTTGTTTAGAGATGGATGGTTCTATTACTAGTGTGCAAGCTTTACACATATAAAGTTGTTAATTCATTCTGTTTTTGGTTATTTTTAACACATACAAGTTTAATTTGTATGCCTTTTCCCTAAAATGGGTATCTTTTTCACATTTCCTGCCCTTGATGAGCATTTTACATGTACCTCCTCCAAATACATAAACCCTTCTTTTAAAGCCAAAGACTTGCTTCAGAGAAGAACACAGCTTGGAAGACAGCTGAACTCTGATCTGCACAGCAATCAGGGATACCAAAATCAGATTGGTTTGGTTCAAAGTACAAACTGAGTGAAACTTTCCGGTATTCCTAATTTTGGTGTTTTTTTTAACTGAAAACTGTACCAGAACATGCAAGATACTTAAAAATCCAGTAATGGGTAAGCTTTCACTGACACCTAGGTTTAGGAGGTATGGATATGCATATCGAACTAGACTGAATTCTTCAAGCATATCTATGGGACAATATGTGGTATGTGTGAAAATGGTGATAGTGGTTATAAGGAAAGCAATAGTTCAATGACAGTCCCTTATATTGTGCCTGTTCCATCACCAGTTAAAAATCTCATTCATGGGACCTTGAAGAGATGCTGACAATTTCAGGAATACAGAATGGATTGATGGATTCAATATCATGCTTTTTTAAAATAGATGTGCTAGGGCCACATTTCTTTTCTTTTGTTTTAAAGAAACTTTTATTCTTTTTTTAGAAGATTGCACAAAATGAACAGAATGTCAGAATGAAAAAGATAGCCAATAAAAAAGAACCATATACTGTAATACAAAAAAACAATAAATGACAAAATTAAACTAATTAAAAAAATAGAACCCCCCAAAAAACATTTAAAGACCCTAACAGAACTTAACAAATTGCAATACTAAATATCTAATATATACGTTAAACATATAAATGTCACTATTTACAAAAATACTTTTATATATTACCAAAATTACCAAATAATATCACAAAATCTATACCAAAGAAGAATGTATTGTTTCATTCTTGGTTAGTTAAAAATACTGCCTTTTCTAAAATGGATAAATTACACATTTCCCAAAGCCAATCCTTAAGGTCTTGAATAATATCATTTTCCAATTTCTCAATATATATATTTTTTCCATCCACCATGCCCAGTATAACTATAATTCCTCAGAGACAGTCAGATTCCAGAGTTTTGGAATATAATTCTGCATCACATTAACATCTTTAACATTTAGAGATTTCCCCATGAATCTACTTATATACATGGAAATATTATTCCAGACAAATACTAATAGTTCACAAGAGCAAATCATACCAGCCAATGAACTCTCAATATTTTTACATCTCCAATAGAGAAAATCTGATGTACATCCTTTTGAGTCCATTCTTTGGGGGAGAATCAGTAAACTTAAAATACAGTTTTTTGATGGATCAATTTTAGTCTCAAACCCATCAATACCATTTTAATATTTTTAATATTTGCTGCCATTGATAGGGCATTATCAGAGAATCCAATTCTATAGTCCATGCTTGATATATCCCAGTAATGCCAACTTTAAAAAATGTTCTTGAACTTTTGGTAAAGATATGTTGTGAGTCAGGCTTCCAAATTTGTGAATTCATATTCTTCTACCATGCACACAGAGATCAAGATTAATGAATGGGTCAGCTGGGCCTGAGACACTCCTAAGCAAAGTATCCAATGAAATAATGCATGACTAATCCATGCTGATCTTATCTGAAATTTATTGGAAGCAAAACTGTATTTAGATGCAGTGCTAAAGAGCTGTGAAGGTCTGCAACACTGCATTATGTTTCAAACTGTGGATGTAAAATTGTCAGGACTTCTAAATGAACTTTTTCCTGATATAATCCTGGGATAGTAGAGATTCTAGTTAACATTCTGCCTCTTTGGACTCATGTCTCTAGCTAATCTCAGTGTCTGAGAAGTGAGGGCTGCCTCCTGAAACTCAAAAAAGTTGGAAATAACAGTTTGGTTCTAGATTATGACCTTAATGCTGTGTAAGTCACATTTTTGGTCCCAGTTGTGTTATAGCATCAAGTTGCTACTTGGGCATATAATGTATATTTTGGGCAATTGGAGCAGTTTTCAGTTAGTGTCAGGCTAGTTCCCTCCCACCCCCCAGAATAGTAACTCCATTCTGTAGTCACTTTTTATAACACATTTGGATAAGATTGCCAAATTATGGCACTCTTATTTTTCCTTTGATTTTCCTTTATAGCAAAAGCAGCATTATCTTGCTATAAAAATTAGATACCCCCCTGCCCCACCAAATAATAAAATGGAATCTGATGTTGGAAAATTAAGAAGCCAGACAAAAACAGCTAAGAGACTATTTATTTATGGTTAACAGAACACAATAATGTGTCCAGAGGTGCAGGTACAAAACTTTTAATTGAAATCAGAAATACATTTATTGCATGTGACTTAATCCCTATAAAACTCTGCACTATAGAAGGATTTGGATCATAGGGAAAGCACTGCTTGATAATAACCAGCCAGAGTTTCTGGCTCACATATTAGAGTAAATAAACAAGAGATGGAGCAGCAAAGGCTTGTTAGCTGAGCTTGCTGGAAGAAAAAATGAAGTGGGATTGATCAAGCAAAGTACACCATCACACTATTCACTCTTAATAAGCAAAGATTCATTACAGTTTTGGCTTACTGTGACATTGGAGTGCAGCCTATAACAATCCAGTTCGTAATGGTATGTGAGAAAGACCTTGAGAGATAGGGCAAAGAGATGCTGCCTAGGGAACGGTCAGATAAGAGAGGGCATAGCCCGCAGCTGCATAATGGGTGGAAAAAGAGGCTCAGAAGGGACCCTCCCTAACTTCTCAGGCTGTAAAGGAGACGGAAGGAGATTTGTACTTTCAGATTTGCAAGATTCTGTTAATGTAGCCTTACAATAAAGTAGAATTAGCTCATCTAGTTGTGTTTCCTGTCTGGTCCACCTGGGAAGGCTGACAAGTTTCATTCAGTATCCAGCTACCTATGGAGAAGCAATGCCACAACAGTTCTAAAAGATTCTAGTGAAGAAACAACCCTGGCCAATCTATTGGTGGTCAATTGTTCAGGTGAGGAAAAGGAAGGTATTGAGCATCCCACTTCCCCCTTGTGCCCACTATCTGCAGTTCTGTCAGTCTCTGTGGGATAATATGTGCATAGTTGAAGCTGAACTGGTGGACTACAATGACCCAATTCCGTTCTTTGAGGAAATGCTGTTTACAGAGACTATGGGATGAGCCCTCCCAGAGGTGGCTCTCCTTTTAGAGAATGTCTTACACCTTATTATCCAGGCTTCCTGTACTATATTGGGGTCCAAAGGGCCATAAAGACTCAGCTCTTCAGGAATAATTTGGGGACATGTTTAGCCTACCCCCAGGTTTGGCACTGTCACTGTACATTGATGGATTGATTGATGGTTGTTTATATGCTGCATGTTTTTAACACTATGTTTTAGCCTTTTATAAGCTATTTGGAACCTATGGGAATTTAATGGCATGGAAGCTTTAGTAATTTTTTAAAAATTAACATATTTAAATGTTTCCATGATTAATAATGAAAAGTAATATTACTATACATTGAGTACTTTCTTCCAAAATTCATACCATATAGTTCCAGAATTCCTGAAAAGGAAAAAAAAATCTCTTTAACTTTTAAATGGCAGCAAGAGTGATTCATTTCTTCATCTGCCCAGAGGAACAGAAACTGGAATGACCCCTAATTGGAAAAAAAGGAACCTATTGTTGGAGGAACTCTGTGACATTCTTTAAAATTGGAAGCCAGCAAGAACACACATACAGATCCACAATCCTTCCCTATCCATATTTGCTTTGAAGTAAATTCCATCAAATCCAGTGGGGCTTATGCCTAGATACACTGGAATATATTTGTATACATTCCAGTGCATTATGCTTTGTGAAAATGATTTGTCAGTGATGATATTGATTACGAATAAAGGGTGCCGAGCTGGACGCTCTACAGTTGAGCAGTAAGACCAGATATGGCTGCTTTAATAAACAGATGGTACGTGTCTGGAGTGTGTTTAGGTGTTTTTAGGTCAAAGGATGAATATTTATTCAGTAATACAAGTAGGGAAAAATATGTTTGGAAGCTGCAGACTGCATAAGAGCTCTTGAATATATTAATTCATGTCAGCTGTCCCTAACCTGATGCCCTACAGATGTGGTGAGACTACAGCCCTTAGAATTCTGGGAACTGGTATCTCAAAATGTCTCGAAGAGGATTCATATGTTCTGTCTGTATGTGTGTGAATGTAGGTTCAATTTTAGCGTTCCCCCCTAAAAAAAAAGGTATGCATATGTGCTTGAGGAAAAACAGGAGACAATATTTAGAAAATTTTCATTTAATGATTCATACTGCCTAGAAGATTTTTTACTATGTGAAATAAAGACATAAATGCAAAATATTGGTGTTAGATCTAGTCTTAAAAGCCGAGTGCATAATAAATAGATAAGTTGAGAAATCTATTCAAATTTAGCAAGTACGTTCAGTTTATTTACTTTCCAATCTTAATTTTCCCATTTCATTTTAGCATAAGTGTGTAAATTTATTTTTAAATAGTCTGCATTAAAAATGTATGTGCTTTTGATATATGTGTTACAGTATTGATTTTTCTGTCTGTGCTTTTCCCTAATACATTGCTATTTTGTATCATTTTCCCCAAGTATACAGATTTCAGCTGACTTTTCCCTTATACACATTTCTGCATGCATTTTTTTAACTTGCATTTTCAACATTTAAAAACATCACATAAATGTCAGCATTTAAATATGTTTCAATGTGTAAAGAGTGGATTTAATCAGTTTGTGTTAAAATCTGAACGAAGTGAACTTCTCTGCCATCCCAATCCGAAGTAAGACCCAATTAGTTAAATTTATTCCCAGGTAAGTTGTTCAGCAAGGATAGGCAACAAATGCATTTCTAGATGTTGCTGGACTGCAGCTCTAACTTTTTATCTGATCTTTTGCTTCTCTTTGTTCATTCAATCTTATAACTTTGGTGCCAAGTCCCATCCCCAAGATTGCTGCCACCTAAGAATGTCTGTTTTTTCATTCATATCAGTGCCTTGCACTCAACCAGCAATAGCTAGCCAGAGGTGGTCAGAATCTCTCTTCTAGAGAACCAGTTAATACTGGTAAAAAGTTGATCTTAGGAATGCAAGATGAGGTATCTTGTTTTCTGTTCCATATTTGCGTATCTGCACTCCAATAGCAGTTAACATTGAGACAATCTATATATGCCCAATGACAGCATAATAGATCTAGGGGCCTAGAAGCTAACTGATGACTCTTATATCAGTGGCCCATTGGCTATCTGGTTACTCTAAGTATTCTGTAACTACAGTCATTGTCCTATTCCAACAAAAGGTTTTTGGGAGGGGGTTCAAGAGAAATAGGATGTTTCTTTGCCCCTCAGTAATCTTGGTTGAGAGTCCTCAGAGAAGCAAGAAGGTTGGACCAGGATATGACTCAGGGTTTGCCTAAAGGCCCTCTGCCCAGAGAAGTAGTAAGCTGAATGTGGCAGCAAAAGGATAGAGTAGTCACACCAGGTTGTATTGTTTCTTTTCAGTGCTTAGTTCTCTAGTTATATCTTTGCTCTCATTCACTATCCCTCTATTTGTTCAGAGTAATGTTTTCTGGCTTCATGCTGCAAATCTCAGCAGCCACAGTTTCTGAAATCTTTCCATTGTTGCCTTTTTAAAAATTAAAATCCTTTATTCTTTGTTAGTCCAATATTGTGTTTTGTCCTCTCACCATGGACTTCCAAAACGGCTTGGGCTTGGTAACCTGGGTTAAAAAGGGAAAACTGGAGCCAATTATTTAAAATCTTATTCTTGGATAAGGCGGATTTCCTGCTCTGCCCTCTACAGACCGCAGGTGCGTGGGGGTTTCTTCCTTTTCAGAACAGGTCATGGTGACATAACTACTTGCTTGGATAGATCTCTTTCACCTGGGAGGAACAACCTCACCCAGATACCCAAAAACTCAGTAGATGGGATCCCAGAGAGAGGGCAGGTAGGTTTTTTTTTTTTTTTTTTATGTTTGTGACCAAGTATATACCCCAGCTTTCAAATGGCAAATATGTTTAGCTCATAAGATAAGACTCTACAGACATGAAGATCACTGTGTGTAACAATGCTTGGAAATTCCTGTGTTAATCGTTAATTATTTCCTTTTGCTTCCCTTTTTCTAGGTAGAGGACTGAAGGTAAGATTAATTATTATTACTATTTAGTTCTCCTAATCCAAAAAAATATGTATTCTGAATTGGAAGTAGCTGGAGAGCAATACAGCAACTATTTCAAGAACTTCAAGGCTCCAGAAAGAGTCCTCCTCTCATAAACTAATTAATATTAGAAGGCCAAGGTTGTAAACCACGGTTTCTAAGGTTTTCAGACTCTTTGACGTTAAATGGATAACAGGGAATGCTTAGACAGCAGAAGAAAGTGAGGAAAAAACAATGAAGTGACAGATGTGGATTTCTATGGGGCACTATTGCAGCTTGAGGCAAATAGGATGACTATTGCATAAGTGAATCTTTAGCATATCACAAGCTGATTTGAATGGGAAGAAGCTTGACACGTCTTTCTGCTACCTGGTGCTGGTTGGGAACTATAGGCAGGTACGCCCAGTGGATATCAGTGGTTCTTGTTGGGAAAGGCTGAATACATATATTTGGATTTGCCTTTATTCATTTACATGTTGTTTTATTTTATACTTCATTTTAGAACATTTACACTTGTCCTTCCCAACATTTTCTGTGGGCAGACAACAATATCATAGTTAAAGTAATAAAATATACACCAACAACAGCATTGAATATGATACTTCAACAGTGAGCTTTATGGAGGAGAGTGAAAAGCGAGTTCAATTTATTTAATTATTAGAAAAAAATACCAGTAAATAAATACAGAAGCAGAAAAAATAGGGATTATCCAAGGAAGGAAGGAAGGATGGACGGACAACTGCTCGAACGGTATAAGAACAAGTACCAGGTGACTGACCGTGGCAATAGGACTAAAATGACAGGGTGCCATTGGCCTTTTTGCTAAGATCAAATATAATATCTGAGGAGGTCTTTTCCTACCCAGTCATCAATCAATGTCTGGAAAAAGGCTCTTGATGAAAACTTATTCAGGTACTTAAGCCCTAAGTCATGGCAGTACTAACTATATCAATAAATATTCTTGTGAACAGAAAAGTTTTCTTAGGGTGTGCACTCTCTGTGAAGCCTAAGCAGATTGTTGTATTCTTTTTTAAGGCAGGGGGAGACAGAAACCAGAACACCAGAATATGTCAATCCCATTTTGCAACATAGTTTTGTTTGCCCTGAAATCTCTGATCTTAAGTTATGAAATTCCATCTTAGGCCTAAATGGGCCTAGCCTGTGCTTCATCCTGTCTTTAATGCTGAAAACATTTTCTAGCCGTCAGAGAAGACTTTCCACAATCATGTCAGTTTATGCTTCATTGTGAAATGTGAAAAAGCTGAAAAACTATTGCTTGGGATTTTTTAAAAAAATACTATTTTGCTCAGATAAATTTGTCTTCTTACCTTATAGGGTCAAAAAGGAGAACCTGGAGTAGTACCAGTGGTAAGTTTGTGTGTGTGTGTGTGTGCGTGTGTTATGTTACCCTTCACTGACAAGCATTTTGCAGAATGTAATCTGAAAAACTCTTTATTCATTTGGGATGCAGTTAGGCTGTTTTTTCTTTTTTCTTTTTACTGTATATAGTTCTGGGCTCTTTACGGAAAGAATATCTATATAGATATTAGAATAGAATAGATTATATTTTTTTTTTGTTACCTGCCGACTTGTGAGGAACAGACACCAGACCTGGTTATTGCCCTGTGCCATGCATACTGTAGCACATAACACAATTTATCTTGCTCCTCCCCCAGGATATGTCTCTTTCTCTACTATGGGAATCTTTCTCTTAAGGGGACAGAATGGTTTTAGTAGCTGGATTATTATATTTTTTTTTTGTTACCTGCCGACTTGTGAGGAACAGACACCAGACCTGGTTATTGCCCTGTGCCATGCATACTGTAGCACATAACACAATTTATCTTGCTCCTCCCCCAGGATATGTCTCTTTCTCTACTATGGGAATCTTTCTCTTAAGGGGACAGAATGGTTTTAGTAGCTGGATTAGTTACTAAACTAGTGTTTGGCACAAGTTTTGTTTGACACTGTGTCTTTTCTATCCAAACCAAGAAATATCTCCAAATAAGACTGATAACTAACTGGGGCTTGCGTGATCTCTTTCTCTCTTTCCTTCGGAGGCTTCCCTGCTGCTTCAGTCAGTCAAAATAAAACAGATCATAAGACCATTCATACATACATCATCACAACATAAATATAATGAAATGCATATCCAAGCAAAAGTCCATAAATTTATAGCCAAAAACATATAATCAGTATAACAATTACATTGCTAGTACCCATTCCTCATCCCAGATAACCACCATTCATTCTAGCCTTTGTAGTGCTAGAAAATACGGTTGGACAATGGTTGGATATTGGTGTTTGGACAGGTGATGTCAAAACTGATTAATGCTTATTTCTTCAAAGGATATGGTAGGTAAATCTGTGAAAGTTTGCTGTCTGCGTAACTCTAGGCAAAACAGAAAACAGACAAGCAGGACAAAAGCACAGTACTGTACTGCTCTTCTGCCTGTTTTTCCCAGCAATTTCAGATATACTTCATTGCATTGTAGGTATCTTGATTAGAAGCCATTGATGGATGTAATCTACATGAAATTATGTAAATAATAATAATAATAACAACAGCATTGGATTTATCTCTGCCCATCTCCCCTAATAGGGGACTCTGGGAGGCTCACATAGTACAGCATCTAACAGTTACAGTTACAATTACAATCACAGTCCTACTGTATTACAATGACATCCTACATCAAATTAAAGCCACTTGGCAGTAGCACTCAATAACATATTATGAGCATAATATATAATTTAACAACATGTTGCATCAAGAAACAATACTTTTCATCTGTCCAGAATCTTCTGCCATTTTACTCCATTGCATGATCAAGCCTTTTAGGGTTATGAGAGACTCACTTCTTCTGTCAATGTTTTTTCTTTTTCTAATGGAATAATTGTCTGCTATAGAGGAAACAGGAAAGGCAAATATCTCAAACTTCCTGCTTTTTGCTGTCTCCGGCTGGGCAAGGATCCAACTTTTGTATGATTAATCCATTCCCAAATAAGTTTGAGCACCAATATAAACAGTATAACCATTTTATAATGCATTTGCCCATAATGTAGGCTACTGAGGCAGGATTCAACTGAGAGTTTTTTTCACACTAGTTTGTTGGGTTTCCACGTTTTAGTTGATGGAAATGCAATGGAGCATATCCATAATTTGTTTCTGATAAGTGTTTTATTGCAAAACAAAACAAAACAAAAACACAAAACCCTGTGTATCCTGTGGTGGATTATGATGATGTACTTCCACATAGTTAACTGTTTGATTCAGTCTCTCTTTCTTCTCTCTTCCCAAATACAGCAATAGTTTTTGAATATGCCTGCAGGTCTTTTTGCACTTTTTTTTCCTTAATATTTAAAATTATTTTTTTAAAAATTATTCATACTCAGAATTTTAGCATTACAAAATTATCCTAGGGTGCTGGTGTCCCTTCCCCAACCGCCTTTCAAATATTTGGTACAACTGCTAAATTATTTTTATCAGTTATGAGACAAGGAAGTAAATGCTATTTCTATTTCAGTTATTGATTTAAAATAGAGTTTGTACTGTATAGGTTTGCTAGGAAGGAAACCTTTTTGAATCAATTGAAGATTTAAGTAATTAATTTTGCATTGCTTATGATACTGCATAGTTAGGAGAGTTTGCCCTCTCCTTACCATTTGTGCTTCCCTTAGGAGATAGAAGGGTTGGTTGGATATGATAGCAATTTCATATGCTGTAGTATCAGATAGATTGGGAAGGGGGAAAAAATAAAGAAGAAGGTAGAGATTTGAGATAAAGACTTCTACATCTCTATTTTTTAAAAGTATTTCTGTCCTTTAAACAGGGCTTCATACTCCACAGAAGAGCAAGTCAGAATTGATTGCCTCTGGCTGAAAATACACCGAACAGGAAGCTACAGCTCTTCTTGTTTGTTTCATAACTGTATCCCAGATGACACATGTTCAGATGTCTCTTGGGAACATTTTCTGCTTATGTTTTGACCCTTAAATGCCTTTATCTTTTTTGAAAAGTAATTTACAAAAAGACTTTTGCTTGAAAGAATTCAGCATACTGACAGTATGCTAAAGATCAGGGGTAGAATGAATCCCAGGATGGACTGAGAAGTGTCAGGACCAACTTCAAGGGCTGGTGTTGCTGGGCATTTGCCAGAGGCCATGGCTTAGTGTGGAGTGGGATTGCTAACCCCTAACTTTTGACCTTCCTTCTTTTTATTACAACTGCCTATTCACCTGTTTTTGCTAATCAAGCAAGTAATGATCAAAGGAAAGAAACAAATAATTTTTGTTTATCTTTGGTGCCTCTTCCAATGTAGCACTTTCCAGAATATTAAAATTCTTCCTAGTTCCCAGAATCCCAGGTGACTTGGCCATTGGGAGTTCTAGGATTATAGGAGTTGAAAACTAGCACATCTAGAGGGCACTGTATTGGGGACTTGGTGTAGGACACAAAAAATAGACCAAGCAAGTGAAAAGCAGGAACATTGAAGAGGAAGACTACTTTGAAAGCATTTTGAGGGAATGAAACTGACACCGATGTGCATCTGTATTTGATATAAATTATCTGCATGTGTTTGAGTAAAGAGCAAATGAAACAGAACAATAGACACTAAATAAATAGACAAATAAATAAAGTCTAGCAATTGCCAGTGTCAGAGGTTTTTCCCTTCCCTTTTTTTTCCTAATGGAAGTTATCAAAGAGAAAAAGATGATATTCTTGCTACAAGCATTACCATGTCCTAGTATGTTATTAAAGTTTATGTCTCCTTTTTTAATAGGTTACAGGTGTAAGAGGACGGCCTGGACAACCTGTAAGTTATCACATCTGGTATTCTTTGTAGAAGCATGAGTAGTTTCCTAGTAGAAAACCATTTTAATGACCGCTTAACTTTTTTTAGTATTATGATAAATGAAGTTTTATGGAGAGATGGGGAATCCATGCTGGCTTGTTTCTTTATACCTAATGCTGAATCTGTGGCTTCTGGGGAACTCTACATTAAAATCCAGCTACATGAAAATAGATCATACTTTATGACAGTGATTTTCCATATCAATGTCTTTGCCAAGGGGCAAATTCTAGGGTACATATCACTTTTTGCAAAGTATGGACAACCTTGTTGGGACCCTCACAACCACCCTTTATGGACTGAGATTAATACCTGAAGTTCTTTTTTGTTATTTCATATAAAAGAGAAAGATTAGCAGCAATGGATAAGCTGCAGGAAAGTCTTATCATTATCAATTTTTTTGCTATTAATTCCCCAATAAGACCCAGAGACTCAAGCGGCTCTTATCACGCAGTTTAAAAACCACTATGGCAATGTGCACCATCAAGGAGAACTCAACAAATCTATACAATTATTATTTAATTTCAAATCTGTGGTATTATCACTATTTTATTAAATGCCCATAACTGTTCTAATCATTGATGTAGGGACCTCCAGGTTCACAAGGACCAAGAGGAGCTCGAGGACCAAAAGGAAGACCGGTGAGTTGGAGAGCATTCTTTCAATAACAGATAAATAGATTGCTATATACTTCCCAGGTGCCTGAGATGAAATGCTTTTGGGACAAAGCTACCTAGGTTTGGCTTCTTTTTGAGAGAAGAGATCTTTAAAGTTTGAGAGCATTCTATAATATTTGATTCATAAATATAAAAGTAGGGTAGCTTCAGGAAAACAGGATAAATACTCACAGTAAATGCACTGCTCTTACCAGACTCCAGGAGATGTACCTGGGTGCCTTTCAGCCCCTCGCTCCTTCCAAATCTCACTCTTGCCCTCTGTGATTCATTTTATCTCCCACACTTTGCATTCTTTCACATACAATGAGTCATATACCTAAACAGTTCTCACATTCCATGGATGGCTAAAAAAAAATCAACCTCTGATAATTAGTCCTCAGAAAGAGACATCTACCATATGAACTATCGCCCCCTGGTTGGAATATATAATACCATATATAGAAATTTAGTCCACTCTGGGTTTTTAAAAAAGGATATCATTTCCATATCCTAAACATATCATTTCCAATCACCAATCCAAACATAAACATATTAACTTTCCAATCACCAATTCAACTTTAAAGTAAGAGCAGTAGTAATGAAACATAACAGTAAACTTAGAGGTATAAACCAGAACAATTCAATAAGCTAAGAACCAACAGAATCAGTATAAATACAAATAGAGATACATTTTGACTGAGCATGGAATGCTCTACATTGTCAGTAATAGTAAAATGTTTCTTTAAAGGGTCCGAACTTAGGGCCACTGTCAAAAAAGTCCTGTTCCTTCTGACTGTATCTTTCTGATTAACTGAATATAGTAGAGAGCCACAAGGGAAAGTCTGAATCCCTGGACAGACCAGTATGAAATGAGGCACTCCTTTCAATTTTTAGGCTCCAAACCACTTAGAACTTTAAGGGTAAATGCCAATACCATGAAAGCAGGCAGGAGAAAATAGGTACCATTTATTCCTTCACAAGTCATGTTCAGGCAATACAAATAAGTGTAGACCCTGCCACCTGAGTAGTGGCAAGCAGCCCCTCCCTTCCATTAACTGCTGTGGTGTCAGTGAAGATATGGTCAGTCATATGCATATTGTACTGTATAGATCTTTCCATGTACAGTTACTCATGTGAAGGCTTCCACGTAATCCTGCTCGCTCTGTCTGTCTGTCTGTCTGTCTGTCTGTCTGTCTGTCTGTCTATCTATCTATCTATCTATCTATCTATCTATCTATCTATCTATCTATCTATCTATCT